GCTCTATCTGTGCTCACTGCGCTAATGCTAATGAGCTAACATGTGCTAATGAGCTAACATGTGCTAATGAGATAACACGTGCTAATGAGCTAGCACGTGCTAATGAGCTAACACGTGCTAATGAGCTAACACGTGCTAATGAGCTGAGTTTAGAGTAACACATCTTTTGCTGAAACCGAGTCCTGTGTCAGTTATCGCCTGCAGCTCAGGAAACTGATAGTCCTGGTTCCTGGTTCACACCTGGTTCACACCTGGTTCACACCTGGTTCAGACCTGGTCCAGACCCGGTCCAGACCTGGTCCAGACCCGGTCCAGACCTGGTCCAGACCTGGTCTTTCACATGACAGTGTCAGGGGCCTCTCTGGGTCAGAGCTGGAGGAATGTAACACTGCTCCTCACAGACCTGCAGCAGTGTTTAGCTCTGTCCAGGCTCAGGTCACAGTCTGCGGATCCTCACAACAGAGACTAGACCAGGGTCTAGACTAGAGACTAGACTAGAGACCAGACCAGAGACCAGACCAGAGACTAGACCAGAGCAGAAACCAGACCAGAGACTAGAACAGAGACCAGAAACCAAAGACCACATCGGAGACCAGAGCAGATCCTCACAGCTGCTGCAGATGTGACATTCTGAAGGACTGGACCTGGACCTGGACCTGGACCTGGACTGAGGAGTGTTTTAGAACCAGGAACTAGAGACTTGGATGTTTTGATGGTTTGAAAGTTATGTACCTCAGCTTTAATAGTGGGTTTCCTCCTTATACTTTAGTTTGAACAGGACACAAACACTGATTATAGTCTGAGGTGACGAAGGACTGCAGACCAGAGACCAGAGACCAGAGAGAGACCAGAGAGACCAGAGGGAGACCAGAGACCAGAGAGAGACCAGAGACCAGAGAGAGACCAGAGAGACCAGAGGGAGACCAGAGACCAGAGAGAGACCAGAGACCAGAGAGAGACCAGAGAGACCAGAGGGAGACCAGAGACCAGAGAGAGACCAGAGACCAGAGAGAGACCAGAGACCAGAGAGAGACCAGAGACATGAGAGAGACCAGAGACCAGAGAGAGACCAGAGAGAGACCAGAGAGACCAGAGACCAGAGACCAGAGAGAGACCAGAGACCAGAGACCAGAGACCAGAGAGACCAGAGAGACCAGAGAGCAGAGAGAGACCAGAGACCAGAGAGCAGAGAGAGACCAGAGAGCAGAGAGAGACCAGTGACCAGAGAGAGACCAGAGAGACCAGAGACCAGAGAGACCAGAGACCAGAGAGAGACCAGAGAGACCAGAGACCAGAGAGAGACCAGAGACCAGAGAGACCAGAGACCAGAGAGAGACCAGAGACCAGAGAGACCAGAGACCAGAGAGACCAGAGAGACCAGAGAGACCAGAGAGCAGAGAGAGACCAGAGAGAGACCAGAGACCAGAGAGACCAGAGAGACGAGAGACCAGAGAGACGAGAGACCAGAGACCAGAGACCAGAGAGAGAGACCAGGGACCAGAGAAACCAGAGTGACCAGAGAGAGAGACCAGCGACCAGAGACCATAGAGACCAGAGACTCGAGACCATCGACCAGAGAGCGAGAGACCAGAAAGAGAGACCATAGACCAGGTTCAATGATGGAAAGTGGCTTTTCACCCGGGAACGTGTATTCTGGAATTGTACGTCATAATCAAACATTGCATCATTTGGGCGGCCCGGTGGCTGAGTGGACAGCACTCTCGCTTCTCGGCATAAAGCGAGAAGTTCTGGGTTCGAATCCCAGTCGGAACGGGGCCTTTCTGAACCTGTCTGAGTAGACCAGAGACCCCACCACTATAAACATGTCCAATAGTCCAGGGTGAATGTGTTTGTGTGTGTGTGTGTGTGTGTGTGTGTGTGCGACTGTGCGACAACCCGGAGTGAGTCATGAACATGTACGGTCCCAATAAGTATGTACATTATGTTAGTGTTGGAGAAAAGTGTGTTGAAACAGAAGGGATGGGGGGATGTGCTCTCTATGCAGTGGCTCTCGCTGTAACGAAGTGTTGCTAAGACGGTTGCTAAGGCAAGCTAGAGTTTCCCTTAATGAGGACATCTGATTGGTCGGTTGATTTGGAGCCAGAGAGAGAGGAGCCAGAGAAAGAGGAGCCACAGGGAGGAGCCAGAGGGAGGAGCCAGAGAGAGAGGAGCCAGAGAAGGAGGAGCCACAGAGAGGAGCCAGAGGGAGGTGCCAGAGGGAGGAGCCAGAGAGAGAGGAGCCAGAGAGAGGAGCCAGAGAGAGGAGCCAGAGAGAGAGGAGCCAGAGAGAGAGGAGCCAGAGAGAGGAGCCAGAGAGAGAGGAGCCAGAGAGAGAGGAGCCAGAGAAAGAGGAGCCAGAGAAAGAGGAGCCAGAGAGAGAGGAGCCAGAGAGAGAGGAGCCAGAGAGAGGAGCCAGAGAGAGAGGAGCCAGAGAGAGGAGCCAGAGGGAGGAGTGTAGCAGTGTCCATCTTTACAGATATGGTCATAAATGAAGCCTGTCTTGTACCACGTGGATCACAGCAGTGGAACACATTTTCACTCAGACCATGACATCACAGCTGCTCTGTGGAGGGGCGGGGCCTGTCACCTGAGGTTTCCAACAGGAAGTCCGTAAACCTCAGCAGGTGAAGCATGCGGTCTGTCCGGTCAGAGAATCCACTGTGTAATCCACCAAACATTCAAACACACACACAGACACAGACACACACACACACACACACTACAGAGACACACACACACACACAGACACACACACTACAGAGACACACACACACACAGACACACACACTACAGAGACACACAGACACACACACACACACTACAGAGACACACACACACACACACACACACACAACAGAGACACACACACACACACAGACACACACTACAGAGACACACACACACACAGACACACACACTACAGAGACACACAGACACACACACACACACTACAGAGACACACACACACACACACTACAGAGACACACACACACACACACACACTACAGAGAGAGACTACAGTTCTTTTCTATTTGTTCACAAATATCTGGAATTCCACAGATTCGGAACTAGATGTTTTTGTGTGTGCAGATAATAACTCCTCCTCCTCTTCCTCACTGTGTACAAACATGTGTGTGATTAACACTAATGTAACTGTCAGACTGTAGTAAGAGTACTGTTACTGTCAAATACCTCTGTAGTGTTTCCGGAGCCTCTAAACACATGTGTCACAGTGAGACATCCGCGGTTACTATTGTGTGTGTGTGTGTGTTTGTGTGTATGTGGTGTGTGTGTGTGTGTGTGGTGTGTGTCTGTGTGTGTGTGTGATGTGTGTACGTGTCTGTGTGTGTGTGTGTGCGTGTCTGTGTGTGTGTGTGATGTGTGTACGTGTCTGTGTGTGTGTGTGTGTGTGTGTGTGTGTGTGCGCGCGTGCGCGTGTGTGTGTGTGGTGTGTGTGTGTGTCTGTGTGTGTGTGTCTGTGTGTGTGTGTGTGTGTGTGTCTGTGTGTGTCTGTGTGTGTGTGTGTGTAGATTGAAGGTGTGGAGCTGATGAAGGAGATATCGAGGTCAGAGGTAAAACTTAGACATGAGGAAGAGCTGGTTACATCAGAGGAACAAGACTGACCCTGAGAGAGAGAGGAGAGGGGAGAGGAGGGGGGGAGGAGAGGGGGAGAGGAGAGAGAGGGGGGGGGAGAGGAGGAGGGGGGGGAGAGAGGAGGAGAGGGGGGGCTGGGGGGGGGGGGGAGAGGGGAGGGGGGGGGGGGGGAGGGGGGGGGGGGAGAGGGGGGGGGGAGAGGGGGGGAGAGGAGAGAGAGGGGGAGAGGAGAGAGAGGGGGGGAGAGAGGGGGTGAGAGGGGGGGGGGGGGGAGAGGGGGGGGTGAGAGAGGGGAGGGAGAGAGAGGGGGGGGGGAGAGGAGAGGAGAGGGTGGGGAGAGAGGGGAGAGAGGGGGGGGGGGAGGGGGAGAGGGGGGGGGGGGGGGGAGAGAGGGGGAGTGAGGGGGAGAGGAGAGTGAGGGGGGTGGGAGGAGAGGGGGGGGAGGGTGGAGAGGAGAGAGGGGAGAGAGGGGGGGGAGAGGTGCGAGGGGGGGGGGGGGAGGGGAGGGGGAGGAGGGGGAGGAGAGGGGGGGAGGAGAGAGGGGGGGGAGGCAGAGGGGGGGGGGAGGGAGAGAGAGAAGAGGGGGGGGGAGAGGAGAGAGGGGGAGAGAGGGGGGGGTGAGGGGGGAGGGAGAGAGGGGGTGAGAGAGGGCGAGGAGAGAGGAGGGGGGGGAGAGGGAGAGAGGGGGGGCGTGAGAGGAGAGAGAGGGGGGGGGGGAGGGGAGAGGAGGGGGGAGAGGGGGCGGACGAGAGAGGAGGGGAGAGAGGGAGAGTAGGTGGGAGAGAGGGGGGGAGAGAGAAGAGAGGGGTGAAGAGGTAGAGGGCGAGAGGAACTGAGGAGGGGGTGAGGTGAGGTAGAGGGAGAGAGAGGGCAGGGGGGAGAGGAGACGAGAGGGGAGGGAGAGAGAGGGGGCCATGAGGAGAGGGGAAGTAAGACGCAGAGGATAATTATATGAGGGAGTGACTAGTTTTTCAAAGGGCCTTAAACTAACAGAATTTTAAGCCCAAATGAGACCAGAGAGAGACCAGAGAGACCAGAGAGAGACCAGAGAGAGACCAGAGAGAGACTAGAGAGAGAGACCAGAGAGACCAGAGAGACCAGAGAGAGACCAGAGAAAGACCAGAGAGACCAGAGAGAGACCAGAGAGAGACCAGAGAGAGACTAGAGAGAGAGACCAGAGAGACCAGAGAGACCAGAGAGAGACCAGAGAGACCAGAGAAAGACCAGAGAGAGACCAGAGAGAGACCAGAGAGACCAGAGAGAGACCAGAGAGAGACCAGAGAGACTCCTAACCCTATCTCAAAGGGAGTGACAAAGTAAACAGTGTGATTATATTCAAATATGACTGAACCTGTGTCAGTGACGTCTGTGATGTTTGTGTGACATCACTTGTGGCTGTGTTTCAGGAGGACAACGAGATCCCCACAGACGTGTACGTGCAGGAGTCTCTGAAGAGTCCCTCGTACGACACAGAGTCCGTGCGCCCTGGATCCGTGGCCCCCTCCATGGCCCCCTCCATGGCCCCCTCTGTGGCCGCCTCTGTGTCCATAGCGCCCTCTGTGGCTGGGTCAGAGCGTGCGCGCTCTCCCGAGGGCGGCCTCCACAGCATCAGCCTCAGCTCTGACGACGAGGACGGTCTCCCGCTGCACCGCGAGCTGCCACAGGAGGGCGACGCTGACTCCACCCTGGGGTAAGGGTCAGGGGTACTCTCTAGCTCTGTCTCTCACTCTGTCTCTTACTCTGCAGTTGTCTCAAACAGCTCAAAAGACTCACTAAAGCTGGAGTATGTAACTTTCCAGTTCCTGGCTCTAAAACAGTTATCAGTATTTACATATCGTTGGTCTCTCTCTCAGGTCTCTCTCTGGGCTCTCTCTCTAGTCTCTCTCTGGTCTCTCTCTCTGGTCTCTCTCTGGTCTCTCTCTCAGGTCTCTCTCTGGTCTCTCTCTCTAGTCTCTCTCTGGTCTCTCTCTCTGGTCTCTCTCTGGTCTCTCTCTCTGGTCTCTCTCTGGTCTCTCTCTGCTCTCTCCTGGCGTGTCAAAGTCAAATACATCAGAGGGCCATAAAAACAAATTTGCTGCGAGCCGAGGGCCGGACTGGTTCAATGTTTATAAAACATCCAGAGGCAGCGCTGGTGCCACCTGCTGGCTCAATAAAATATGCTCTAAAGCTAATCCCCATGCATATTATATAACAGACATCTGAGAACATGAAAATACTGAAAAAATGGGATGGTATTTGATTGTTGATCGATGAATTATCTATGGCCCTGCCATTGACGTCAATGGCAGGTTGCCTGTCCCGGGGGCCATAGATAATCCATTCCCTGGCCGGATTTTGCCCGCGGGCCGTGACTTTGACACATGTGCTCTAGTCCCTCTCTCTAGTCTCTGTCTGGTCTCTCTCTGGTCTCTCTCTGGTCTCTCTCTGGTCTCTCTCTGATTTCTCTCTGGTCTCTCTGGTCTCTCTCTGATTTCTCTCTGGTCTCTCTCTGGTCTCTCTCTGGTCTCTCTCTGATTTCTCTCTGGTCTCTCTCTGGTCTCTCTCTGGTCTCTCTCTGGTCTCTCTCTGGTCTCTCTCTCTGGTCTCTCTCTGATTTCTCTCTGGTCTCTCTCTGGTCTCTCTCTGGTCTCTCTCTGATTTCTCTCTGGTCTCTCTCTGGTCTCTCTCTGGTCTCTCTCTGGTCTCTCTGGACTCTCTCTGGTCTCTCTCTGGTCTCTTTCTGGTCTCTCTCTGGTTTCTCTCTGATTTCTCTCTGGTCTCTCTCTGGTCTCTCTCTGGTCTCTCTGGACTCTCTCTGGTCTCTCTCTGGTCTCTCTCTGGTCTCTCTCTGGTTTCTCTCTGATTTCTCTCTGGTCTCTCTCTGGTCTCTCTCTGGTCTCTCTCTGGTTTCTCTCTGATTTCTCTCTGGTCTCTCTCTGGTCTCTTGTTGAACAAACATATAATTGAGGTAGACTAAAACTTAGGTACCCGAGCTTTAATGTCCCCTATGTCCTCGTGCTCAGGCTGCAGTATGGTCCTCAGTACGAGCGTCGATCCGACCGCTTCAAGAGGAACAGCCTGAAGAAGGTGGACAGTCTGAAGAAGGCCTTCTCCAAACAGAACATCGAGAAGAGAGTCACTCAGATCACCACCAAGATCGTTCCTCCAGAGAAACGAGAGAAACTCATCAAGAGCCTGACGCCCAACCACCCCAAGAGCCCCACGGCCCGGGCCTCCTCCTTCAGGGTCACCCCCATGACCTTCAACGTCAAGAAGGTGAGAGAGCAGAGTTCATGTGAGAGAGCAGAGTTCAAGTGAGAGAGCAGAGTTAATGTGAGAGAGCAGAGTTAATGTGAGAGAGCAGAGTTAATGTGAGAGAGCAGAGTTCATGTGAGAGAGCAGAGTTCATGTGAGAGAGCAGAGTTAATGTGAGAGAGCAGAGTTAATGTGAGAGAGCAGAGTTCATGTGAGAGAGCAGAGTTCATGTGAGAGAGCAGAGTTAATGTGAGAGAGCAGAGTTCATGTGAGAGAGCAGAGTTCATGTGAGAGAGCAGAGTTCATGTGAGAGAGCAACGTTCAGGAAGTGAGACCAGATTGATCAGAGTGAGAGACCAGAGAGAGACCAGGAGGTGAGAGAACAGAGATTTTCAGAAGAGTCCAACAGACACACGACCTATAACATCAAGACAGGGATCCTACTGGCTTCATGATACCTGTCTCTACTCTACTCTACTCCTCTCTACTCTACTCTACTCCTCTCTACTCTACTCTACTCTACTCTACCCTACCCTACCCTACTCTACTCTACTCTACTCTACCCTACTCTACTCTACTCTACGCTACTCTACTCTACTCTACCCTACTCTACCCTACCCTACTCTACTCTACCCTACTCTACTCTACTCTACCCTACCCTACGCTACTCTACTCTACCCTACTCTACTCTACTCTACTCTACTCTACTCTACCCTACCCTACTCTACTCTACCCTACTCTACTCTACTCTACCCTACTCTACTCTACTCTACTCTACTCTACTCTACCCTACTCTACTCTACTCTACTCTACTCTACCCTACTCAACCCTACTCCACTCTACTCTACTCTACTCTACCCTACTCTACTCTACTCTACCCTACTCAACCCTACTCTACCCTACCCTACCCTACGCTACTCTACTCTACTCTACCCTACCCTACGCTACTCTACTCTACCCTACCCTACTCTACTCTACTCTACTCTACCCTACTCTACTCTACTCTACTCTACTCTACCCTACCCTACCCTACGCTACTCTACTCTACTCTACCCTACCCTACCCTACCCTACGCTACTCTACTCTACTCTACCCTACTCTACCCTACTCCACTCTACTTTACTCTACCCTACTCTACCCTACCCTACTCTACCCTACCCTACTCTACTCTACTCTACCCTATATATCAAGATTCAGTTTATTTACCATTTGCAGTGAAACCCCATTGGAATAACTAAACTATAACCTTGTCCTGAAGGTGCGAGACGGTCAGACGCCCACTCCTGAGGCCAGTCCCACTGCGGGGGGAGGGGCCCACGTGGAGATCCCAGCCATGGTCCTGGACCCGCCTGGGATCTCACACACCGGGACCGTGGGCCAAGTCCGCGAGGCCCTCACCGAGTGCAGCGTCCAGGCCGAGTACTCTGTGAACGGAGATGTGAACGGGGAGGAGCACTCTGTGGGGGAGGAGGTCTCTCTGGGGGGGGAGGTCTCTGTGGGGGAGGTCTCTGTGGGCGATGGCCAGTCCACCCAGTCCCCCGGAGCACCACCTGGGGAGCAGCCCACTGTTCAGGTAATGATCTCTGTGTTCCAGGTCCTTCTTTAGTCCCTCTCGGCTCTGGTTCTATCCCGGGCCGAGCTGGTACTAAAGTGTATCCATGGGAATAATGGGAATTCATGGGAACGCACTGGGAATGATTTGTAATATAATCTACAGTATTTGTATCATATCCAAGTATAAATATCAACAGAAGTTATAAGAAAACATCCAACTTATAAACTTTCTATGTACTAGCCCTGTGATTGGCCAGAGTGCTGCTGGAAGCCATGGTTGCCAAGGAACTTTCCCTTGTACTGGTTATTCTAAGATTCTAAGATTGGGGGTTTTCTCACTCTCTCTGAACAAAATGGCCGCTCCTATATTACAGTTTAGTGAGTTTGCATGTTCTCTCTGCTCCCAGGCCGGCGCGGTGGAGCTGTCGGTGGGTTTGGCCGAGCCCGAGTCGGTCGACGACGTGGGCGAAGAAGACGATGATGATGAAGAGGGCACTCCAGAACAGGACACACCAGCAGAGGGCGCTCCAGAGGTCACCGTCACCGCCGCCGCTGCCGTGGCCGTGGAACAGGCCTCCTAA